TATCCCTAAACCAGCATGGCTCATGTAAACCCACTTTACACAAAAGTTGAATATGTCATTATTTTCATTCTTAGTTAAGAAAAAAAGCAAGAATAGAAAGCAGAGAACAAGATTCATTCTGGATCCCTCCATTTCAGTTCAGCAGATGAGCACATAGAGCACTGTTGTAACTGCTTAAAAAGCTTCCTGTGGCCCAAATTACCATTGCTGTGGTGTGTTTGAGAGTAACTAAAGGAGCAAAGCAGGGTGTAATGGACAAGCGCGTGGCCTTGCCATCAGGTTGAAGTCTCCTTCCACATCCAACCTGGACAAAGGTGGGACAGAGGCAGGAATCTTGCTTTTGCTGCCTTTGACATGGCTCTTGTATGGTTTTTACACGGCTGGAGAAAGGATCTTCAGGTTTTCTGGACAAAGCCTCTGTCGTGAGATATCTTGCGCCACCTGAAGCCCTAAAAGCTTAGGATCATCCAGATAGCTGCCCACACCACCTGCCTGTCAGAAACGACCCCTAATTTTTAACATTTCTTTAGCAGAGAGTAGTGGTGACAGAAATGTACAGGCATCACATTGACAAACTTCCAGAGGGATTTCCCTCATTATTTACCATCGTTCCTCGTATTCTTTTGGCTAGGAATGTGATCCCTCAAACAATCACAATCTGAATGTCCTTAAACGGAGCCGATGTACTGTACTTAATAGCCTGGTGACTCCTTGGATTAGACTGATAGAGCTGGTGATGAATAGGGTAAGAATAGTTAACAGCCATTCTTAAACAACTTTGAGTGTCATTAATTTTGTTATAGGACAGATTAATCTGAAATGTCAGGACTTGCTGTACTAGACCTAAAATTGTATTTTCAAACCAATTTTAACAGATTGTATTTCACTCTTGACACAAAATTCATTTGCTTGCCTTAGATTGCATCTTTTATTGCAATTGCATCAAATTAAATCAAGGCATTAGATCCATAGAAAACTAAGGTGAAGTTAGAGGAAAATAGTTCTTTCCATTTTCCTTTTTAATACTTTTTTTTTTTCATAGAACAAGATCTAATGCTTGACCATAGATTAAAAAGAGCTTTTGATTACTGTATGTCTATACACCTAAAATCTAGACAGACACAGGGAAATACCTATTCTGTATGTTGGAAATAGATGAAAGAGCAATCAATACAGTCAATATTTCTTTGGCTGGCCTCACAACCTATGCTTTGAGCCAGTTTATTTAAATCAGTTTCAAATATCCACTTAAAGAGAAGCTGGGGCTGCTAATTATGACCAAAAAAATTAGCAGAAGTGAACTCAGATCCCACGAAGGCAACAAACAGAAAGATTATCCCTTCTAAAACCTTTGAAATTGAGTTTACAGATGCGTTACAGGGCCTTTGAAAAAGAATAATTTCCCCTCACACTCCAAGCAATACACTGCAGATAATAAATAGTTAGATCAATAATCTGCTCATAAGCAAACTGTGCAGAGAAATATGTTTGCGCAGAAACATTTCTTGAATAATTTTGAATTATGAATAAATTCGTGAAAGTACAAGTCAGTTCACAGATAATTCATGAACTGAAATAAGGGCGAAATTTGTCGAATAAATTATTCACCACAAATAGTTCCTAAGCTCTCCAAAGGACTATCACACTTCATTTATCTCTTGCCTTAGGGATAGACAAAAATACTCTGAAAAAATTATAACGAACCTGAATTTTTCCCTAAGAAGTTCAGATGGGAACATCTCCTTCCACAGTATTTTTAAAGGTAAGAAGTTGTTTAACAGCAGCCCTTCACAAAAGCCTGATTTTATGTCAGAGGCCTCTGATTTTATCTCAGCATCAGATATAATACGGTGCAGAAAGAGTAGCTGCAATTCCAGTTTCCTGGGGGCTTACAGCCAGGAGATTTGTTTTGTTATGAGACTTCCAGACCAAAATGAAAAACATTGGAATTTTTTGGTGTTTAGTCAAAATGCAGTTCTTAATTCTGTTACATGTTCTGCTTCCAAAAGGGAGCAGTGAATGCCTCAAACCTGCGAAGCCTGAGCACTCAAATGTATTTACATTACAGTGTTAGCCTGTGAAATTGTTTAGGAAGTTTATCTGATGGATGTCAACAGAAGAAAACCAGTCAGCTACGGGTGCAAGGAGGCCGGAAAATATCACAGAAATGTCATTAAAGTGGATCCATGGATCCCAGCAACAAAGCATGGACATCGTGAAATTCAGAGAGGGTAATGAAACAGAAGTGAGCAAAGTCCCTCTTAGCAGCGCTAAGGACAGGTTCCAAATCCAAAGGAAGTTATATGAAAGACAACCCAAACTGAAACCCACAGAAACCCAAACACATGAAACAGAACTTGCACCTGGGATAGTTCTGCGGGCCTTTCCTCTTACACTCCCATGGAAAGAAGACGCAGATCAATCTGTAGAGACAGAAAAGTTTTGTGTCGTACATGGATACAACATTAAATTATGTCAACTCCGATCTACAGCCTTTCCAAATGCCACCACGTCAAGGGAAAGACACCAGCAGCATTCTCCAGGGAAGAAGTAGGAAGGCATTCAACAGTGCGCTGGGCTCTCCTTGCTTCATCAAACAAAAAATAAATTAGACGGGTCAAACATTGTAGATCTAATCTCACTGTGAACCAAAAACATAGGAGCTCTCCTGCCACCAGAGCAATGGGGCCTGCAGTGACCCCACCATGAACTGGAGCTCACCAGCAGGTGCAGTCTGCAAGGACTCAATGTCGCATTCAAGTTTATTCTTTGTGCGCTCCTGAGAATGGCAGGATTGTGTTTTGAATCCAATACCCCAGGGCTTTCACTTGCTTTCTCACAATTACCTGTACAAGACGACGGGGAAGGGAGGGGGTGGGTTGGTGGAAAGAGAGAATTCTTCTGTGACATAGCAGGAACGGTCAAGGGCAGTTCAGATTAAAACCATGATTGGCACAGGCTGCAGAGAGGCTAAGCCAACGGAATAAAAAATAGAAGCATCCTGTTTAATAGAAACAAATTGCTCTCCACTTCTCAGTGACACAGATAGTGGGCCATTTGTACCTGCTGCCCTTTGTTGGGAACAACGGCAAGGAAATGCACTCGTCTCAAGCGGGGTAAAATTCTTTCTGTTGTATTTGGCTATCTCAGCCCGCAGAACAAGCACAGCAGTTAAGTAGTTGAGCTTCCTTGTACATTTGTTTGATTAAAGGTCTGTAACGCTGGCTCAGGTGGAAACAGCTCAGCTGCACGGAACTGCAATGAATGGAGGGTTTGTTAGTGAGCAGCCAGCGAGACACCGCCGAGCTGCTCTCCGAATCGGCCCCGAACAGGAGCTTGTTGTTTGGCTTGTTCCCTTCAGCATGGAAGCACAAAACTGTACATTTTCAATTACATGTGATGAGATCTGGGCTGGTTCGCATGTGTATATTCGGGAAAATGCTAAAAATGAAGGCGAGCTCTTTTGCACGTTGGCCCATGAAAACAAATATCCTTCAGATGTCCCTGAGTGCTCCAGTTAACACTGGCATTTCTAAAGGTCACAGTGGAGTGTGGTGGAGCATATTTATGAACTGACCAAATTGCAGGTTTTAATTTTGATCATAAATGGTCTGGTGAAAATCCAACCACCTGTGTAGCGGGTAGGAGAAAAAAAAACCCAGCCTTTGGTTGTGTTATTTACAAATCGTACAGTGGCACAGAGATGAGTGGCAGATCTCCCATGCTATCTCCATCCTGCTGGGGCAGTTCCCATCTCCTGCAGTCGGCCATAAGCTCCCTAAGGCAAAGTATGTGGTTAGGGTGAACTCAGGAGCAGTTCATCTGGCACTGCAGTGACCACGTGAGTGGACATACAAGCATCTCCTCACTGATGCTCCTTCCCTCCATTACTCCATATGGATGGACCAGTGTGAATAAGCTCAGCCATTGTGCAGGTGTAGATGTGTGTGGATAGGTTGAACAGATTACTTCCCCTTAGAAACTGCTCTAATGCCCAAGAGTTGTCCTTGACACAGGTGTTAAAACGCCTTTGCTTCTAAAATTTGACATCATGTAACCACTGTTATAATCAAAGCAGTTTCAACTAGTTAATTTTAAGGTACTCCAGCTGTAACTGAAGAAAGTTGAGCTCTTTTACCTTTCACTAAAAATCAAAAGAGTTCCTAGGAAATGGTTTTAGCAAAAAATTATGTTGTGAAAGAAATGCAAGCTTTAAACCTAAAGACTACACATTTAAATATGAACGCATAACTGTTCTCCAGGCTTTCAGGTTTGAGAATATATTTATTCCATTGCCTGTTAGCATCACTATGTATTTGCTGGGCATGATCTTTAGATAGTGTAAAATAGTAGCCTTCGAACTCATCATTGCTAAGGATTTGCCCTGACAACTCCTAACCTGTGGAGAAAGACATTTTAAATGTGAAATTTGAGTGAGGAGAATGCACCCTGCCCAAGTAAGCGAAGTATAGTGAGAAACAACTGAGAGTCATCCTTTTTTATGACTGGAATTTCAGGCAGCAGGACCCTTTCTGTGTTTATGGCTGAGCATGTCTGTTAGGAATTTGGTTTCTGGGATGACAAGAAGTTTCTTAGCTGAGCCACAAATGCCCACAGTTGAAATCTGCTTTGCAAAGAAGTCTTCTTGTGTTTTGCCTTCAGGTTGAGAATATTTCTGATAGTCAGAATTAAACGAAGCTCATCTCTATTTTGTATTTCAAAAATTAAACAGCATTTAACACTTAATCTTCCAGCAAGCAGACATACAGTGTAGCAGAGAGCTGAAAGGAGAGATATTTATGCATTATGGAAAATGAGGATAGATCTTTTGTATGCCTCACATATGGTAACTATTGAGTCACAGCCTGAACCACTGATTGAGCACCTGGGGAAAGGGCCCAGTCAGCCCTGGGAGGACAGGTGAAGGCAATTCAGCTGTGTGACCAGAAGGGATGGAGCCTGGCTGCACCTCTCTTAGACCTTATTTAAGGGCTGAATGGCAGTGGGGAGTGATCTCCTGTTGGGGATTTCTCCCTTGTGTTGTTTTCCTCACAAGTCTAGATCTTCTGAGTTGGGTGAGCACTTTTCCTTTATAACGCTCTATTCATACTAGTCCCTTTGCTGTTACACTCCTGTATTACCTTTCCACTGTGCAGATCTTTGTGATTGTAACACTTCAAAATAAGATTTTCTGTTTTTTTTTTTTTTTTATGATAGAAAATAATTTTAAATTAGGATGGAAATAACTGGAAACAGACTAGAAGGAAGTATTTCTAGGACTAGTGTAACTTTACTCATCCTATCCAATGGCTAATCAAAATCTGTGGAAGTTAATGATTGTTTTTCAGTTGATCCCAGTAGACCCAGGCTGGTCCCACATGGCATCACCTGCAACCCAACCTCTACAAATGCATCTTTCTGGTCAGAAAAATGCATCTGAAGGCTTACAAGGTTTCAAGCCTAGGTTTTCTTTGTTGAGACATCTGATTAATGTGTTCTTAGACTTTTGATTTCTACAGGCTGAAACTGGGTGAAAGCCAAGATAGGAACTTAAGCTGGGGATGCTGTCACTATTTTGCCCATTTTCATCACTGGAAAAAAAGCAATGAGGAAACCTATGGAGCAGCCAGCGATAGTCAGTTGCTCTGGAATGTGAGTGAACTGCAGTGGATGGACAGGAGTCCCAAATACATAGCTGAGGGTGGGCATGAACACAGAGTACCTGAGCTGTATAAAATCTCTGTATTGCAGGTACCAATAGAGGAAGGTTTCTCTAAGTGTTCTCTTTGATGTTCGCTTACTGGCTTGTATTTAAATAAAGGTGGTTTTCTTTTGCAGCAGCGCTTGGAATTTATGATGGACTAAAACTCAGAAACGAATTTATAAGTAAACCTACTCATTGGTTTTACTTCACAAAAAAATCAAATAGATTTTTTTTTTTTTTTAATTCAAGTAAATGTGGAATGATGTACTAACTTACATTGATGTACAGCGAAGAGCAATATTAAACTGACTGGAGAAGGTTCAATTTAGAGAAAAATGCCACCTTTCATCAGTTAAGAGGATATATCAGCAGATTGAAAGAAGGAAGAGCCATGGGAATGGGACTTGTTCCAACGGATGAGTACCCTGGTGTTCTGGTCCTGGAGCTGCACCCCTTGGTGTTAGCTGAGCTGCTTGGAGCCATGTCTGAGATTTTGAATGAGCACCTGTAAGACTCTCACCTCTTCCCCTTCCCTCTTTATTTTCCTCTCTCCACTTGTAAATGTTCTTCTTTATACACCGTTTAAAGGTGTGTTAGCAGGAAGACTCTCTGCAGCTGGTGTCCCTGCTTGTGTGCTTCTCAGTCTTGGCTGGAAAATGCCACGCGGACCACTCACTCTTTGGCAATTCTTATTTTCTCAGGATGTAAGCTGTAAAAATACACAACAGGAAGAGAAAGGAAGCAGTGGGGTGTTTCAGTTACACTGTGTATCTGCATGAAGATCATGTCAGAGAGAAGAGTGGAAGATTGGAGAGGAATGCCTGGAAAGCATGACAGCATCACCAACCCACACAAAAGGAAAATGTGGATGCCCCATCCTTGGAGGCATTCAAGGCCAGGCTGGATGTGGCTCTGGACAGCCTGGTTTGCTGGTTGGCGACCCTGCTCACAACAGGGGGGGGTTGAAACCAGATGATCATTCTGGATGTTTCCAACCCAGGCCATTCTATGAACAACTCTCATACACCCACACTTACAATCAATGTGCATTTTGAGCTGTATTCACGTTTACAGAAATTGATTCAAGGCCCCATATCACACCACAGCTAATTTCCATCGGAATACAATGTTTCCTTAATTAAGCAAGGCACGCAGCTGATGGCCGCTTGGTTTGACTCAGAAATGGCTAATTAGTTATCAAATCCCTTAATAGTTCATGCTGAAGATTCTGTCATTACTTGTTGCTCCTCTCAATCTTTATTATCACAAACCCTTTAAAAATGCCTCAGCAGAAAAAAAAACCACCGTGCCCATTAATCCTTTCCAGGAAAGAACGCCAGTACCAGATTAAGTCAAACTGGCATCTGAAGCTATTCTTTTCTTTATGTCACATAGTAAGTGGTCGGTAATCCACGTCTTAATCTCCTTGTTGCACAGCTTGGTTTATCGTAACTGATACTCCTGTGACTGCTGCAGACCCCTATTGTGTTACCTGCAGCACTCAGCTCTTCTTCCTGTTTTTTTCCCCTGGAATGTCTGATAAAGGCACCCTTGAAGTTGACCACAGTCTCCTGAGAAACAGCTTTTCAGAGAAAATGTGACTACTTTAAAGATGCGCTTGTGTTACTTTTGGCTTTTCCCCTGAGCAAAGGCTCAACCAATATTTCTGCTTTCTGACAACACGTTAATTTAACTGCAGGTTACAGAAAGCCTCCTTTGAATCCCCTATTCTAGTTCAATATATTTTTTTTCTGAGATGTAATTATACCTCATGTCAATGCTTGAACACCAGGAAAAAAATAAAAAGCTGCAAGAAGTGAAATTTCCCTTGACCAATAAATATGAAATAAAAATGCGGATGATTTCTCCATGTAGAAATGAGAACTGACATAACTATTTAGGTCCCCCAAAATTAAGCATTTCATAAACCTTTTGGAATTGGGGCCCTGGAAAGTTGGTATTCTCTAAATCTTAAGCCTTTGGGGAAAAAAGAGATGTACTAAGCTCCAGATTTCAGAGCTCAGAACAGTTGCTGCAGAAACTCAGCATCTTGATTTGTGCTTAACTACTTTACAGTTCACATATTCCTTGTTTGAACTTTGCTGGGTGTAGTAATTTTATTCGCGCTCGGGCTGGATTGGTTCTGCTTATTCAGACCTCGTTAATTATAAGAAACTGGACTCAAGCTCACATATCCCATTCACCCATCCTGCCCTCAGGGCAGTCAAATTATCTGGCATTTAACGAGGAGTTTTAGATTTTGTAACTTATCAGAAGTGGGCCCAGCAAGTGCTCACTGGTGAATTCAACGCAGAGGGACTTCTCTGGGACTTGCTTCAAAACAGACAGCAGAGCATCACAATTTGCGTAGAGCGAGTTGAAACTGCCGTGCACTTGGAGCAAAGGGGCTTTTTGTGCTTTGAGTCTTGCCTCTGCCAGCTTTACCGTGTGTGAGAACTTTGTATCTGCCCAGACTTTTGTGTATTTAATTACTCAGCTTCTGGATAACTGACAGCATCAATATTTTGTATCCTCAGACTCCCAGCCAAAGGGGGCTTCATTGGAAGGTGCTTCCAGCAATAACACAGTACCATTGTCAGCAGAGGTTATTTGATATCTATCAGTGTTAGCACAGGGACAGAACTAAATGAAGGCCATAGCAATCTCAAATACATATCAAAATCTCTTTGAGGTGCATGTGATGTGTCTATTAAACATATTAATGCTGCAGCATAGCCTTTGATATAACATTAATTCCTCAATATTATCCCTTGAGTGTGGTACTTGTGGCAGTTGGCTCAGTGTCTCTCTTTGTAGACCCCCTTGAGAACAGGTGCCTTGGTTAAACACCAACTAGCTTTCCCCACCGAGTCCACAGTGATTGCCAACTGCTTATGGTCTTCATGTAGACATGTTGAAAACATTCACTCTTTTCTTGAGCAAATGGAGTGGGTGTAGAACATATGTGCCCAAGCTGCTAGTTCTAAGTCCTTATTGCTCTCTTTTTTTCTATGTTTTCTTAAATATATATGTATATATTTATATAATATACTACACTGTATATTTTACATGTAGGCAAAGACGATTTCTCTTCACTCAATGTGATGGAGCCAAAAATTTGGACACTCAAGGTTTAGGATAATCACCATCCATTCTATGGTGTTTGATCCCCACAGAGGTGCAAAACATCCCCTCCTTGGACACTCTTTCTGTATTGTTCCCTCCATTTTCTCTTAAATAGCCTTAATCTGAGGAGCAGAAGAGTGAATGCCGGAGCACTCTTTAGTTCTCCACCACGCCTTCCAGAGAAATAGTCCTAACTATCTAACAGGACCATAAGGAATATAGATTTAAAGAAAACAAAAATAGCATAATTGGTGTGTTTTTTATAAAAAAGTGTGAAGTGTGAGGCACAATATTCTGCCATAACACACAAAGCCGATGCTCTTCCCTTCAGTGCAGAACTCAGTGCAGCCTTTCACATGTTATCATAGCTGGGCAGTTGAGCAGACATTAATAAATTCCAATGTTTATAAAATATTTTTAATTGTATTAAAATATTTTTTAATTGTAAAGCAGCACCTCCAGGCTGAATACAAGCCTGAAGCCCAGTTGCAATGCATCCTGTACAATCCCACTGTAAAGGACTGCTTTTCTGTACTCATCTATATCTGTACATAACGGTGCTTTATTTTTAATTCCAGAAGAGCAGCAGATGGGTTTCACCTCAGCTCTCTGCTAAGAAGAAGATTGCCATCTATAGATAACTATCCCCAACTGCACTTCTTGCATTGGTGAGGGAGATGGTGCTGTGCCTGCCAGGGGACGCAGTGCTGTGTGAGAATGGGCTGTGGCTTTGCGTCAGCAAATTCTAACTCAGTATGGAGGTGGAACTGCACAACTGGCAGTTTAAAAGTGGGCGTTATTGAAAACCTTCTCCCTTTAGTGATAGTAATGAAAACCACAGGCAAGAATTGGTTTAAATCCACGCACATTTCAAGTAACCTGCAAGCACGTTCTTAGATTACTTTCCATTAATTATACAACAACAAAGCAAATTAAAAAAAAACCAACCAAACTAAACCAATCCAACCCAAACAAGAGTATCTGTGGTATTTCTTGGCCATTTCTAACAAAGAGAGCAAGAAGCCAAATGTTCAGAATGTCATGGGGCCCTACATGTTATGCAGCTTTAATTCTAGACAGAAATAGCAGTGCACCATGGATATATAGCGTGTGCTCCACATGTAGGATGAGCACTTGATGCTGAGCTTTCTGGACATATCTGACAATTTTCAGAATCCTTGTCAATGGAACATGAGGAAAACTCCTCTATGGAGAGAGAGCTCTACAAAGCCTGTAGAAAAAGGCCATCTCTAAAAGGGCATTCAAACAGCATGGCTTTATTTTTAAAAGCTGCTACTGCAAGAATCAAGTATTCTTTTACTCGAATATGCAGAGGTTTGGCAGCAATATGTAGAATTTGTGAACTGATCCATCCTGAATACAAATCAAATTACATTGGTCTTGTCAACCTGCCACATCTTTCACCTTTTCCCTGGTCGCCTTTTCTTGCTACATTTCATTTATCTCTGCTTGCAGTTTGATGAAGTGAATGGCAAAGAGTCATCTCCAGTTCATCTGAAGATAAAACCCATTAAGCTGTTGTATTCACATTTAATTAATGTTTTCCAACTCTCATTTCCTATTTGCCTCCTGAAAATCTTGCCTAAAGTGCTTATTTGCCAAATAAAATAACTCAGGTAGGGTATATCTGATCCCAATGTTTCCCAGAAGATGACTGGATAAGATAACTCTAAGGAGTTGATCATTTTTATTATTTGTGGACAGCCTTTCTAGCCGAGCTCATTCACTGCAGACAGACTCTCATCCCTGAGGGATGCGTGGTGTAAACTGAGCCATGCCTTTTATTTCTCAAGCGTTGCCCGATACCGATACGATTGCGCTTTTATCTTTATTAATTCAGACAGGGGCTGGGCACTGGGATAAACGAGGTGCTCAAATGAAAGCGGCCATTCCTGCAGATCAGCCAGCACTTCCCAGCGCGCTGCAGACATGATGCACGGTATCAGCTCTGATGGTGGGAAAGAGCAGTTTTCGTTTTACACAACAGGTCCCTGCATGGGATGCAGATGTTGCCCTGTGCCCAGCCATCCTCAGGCATTGCCCAGCACTCTGCAGGTGCCAGGCTCTGTGCCGAGCAGACTGAGAGGCATCGCCTGGCTGCGGACAAGGGAGGGCATTGAAGCACAGTGTGGGTGAGCAGGGAGCCGGCCGCAGCCGCAATCTCAGTCTGCAATCTGGGGATGGCTGAGATGAAAGGAAAAACGAGCCAGGATCTTGTGCTGCAATCTTCATCCCAAATCGGTGCAGGGGTGACCCGAGCCTGAGGATGTTGCTGGCTGTGTGTCTGCAGCAGCATCCCTGCTGGGTGCTTACCGCCTTAGTGATCAACTATTTTCCTGGCTTTACGGCTGAACCAATTGCTCATAACTAAAAATTACCAAGTAAGAGTCTGAAATCCATCTTCTATTAAATAACCCTCAGCCCTTTCTCTTTAGAGTGAGGAATATTGATACTTTGGGCAGGAGCAAGTGATAAAGATTAGAATGAAGCTGACTATACGGCTGAATGCTGTGAGTAACCTGCAGGGATTTCCTTCTCCTCAAACTTCCTTCCCTAGTGATCACAGGTGTTTATAGCCTTGATAACACATGTTGGCTTTTAATGTGAACACTTGCTACGGAGCTTTTTCACAGCATTAATTTTATCACTTAACCTTTGTGAAGTGGAATCGCAGTGTGTCGCTGCTTGTCCATATTTGTTCAAACTCCATTAAACAAGAAAAACTGCCTTTTTAAAACCTATTTAAACGATGGGTAAATTATTCGGCCTTTAACTTAACGCTACTTATGTAACCTAATTAAAAAACTTAATAAGACATCCATTCTGCAAAATATTTTCAGGGGGAGAGTTGCAGCATGGGGTTTTGACCTCAGTGCTAAATGCTACACTGCATACGGACTCCTTTCCCATGCAGAGGGGATCAGCTCACATTCAACCAAGTTTCTGTACCTCTCACCATTGACAGCCTGGCTTATTAGTCATCAGAGGGGAAAAAAAAACCCAAAACATATTTCTCATGATTTTTGCAATTAAATATTCATTTCTTGGGTGAGTTCTGTTGCAGCACAGCTTCCACAGGCTTTTCAACTCAATGAGTTGAAGTGATGTATGTGAAATCCCATTAAAACTGGTAATTAGCTGGGTATCTTTCAGCTCGCCACAGAGTGCTACTTAGCACTCCTGGGGAAGCAGCGTCCTTTTCTCAGAGGCACCAACCACTCTCACCATCCCTCTATCTCCTGGCAATGGAATGGTGCAGATTTTAACCACTCGTCGTGCACAACACCGTGCAACGGTGCATCACAGCACCTCACTGAGCTTACAGGCAGTTAATTGAGCGTGGTAATCAAGGCCTGCCAACAGCTCCGTCCTTGTCCTCCTCCCATGTCCTGCGTCCCACTGCCAGACCCAGCCCAGCCTTGGGCATGCCGGGCAGCGAGCTCCTGTCGGGGCCTCAGAATCAACACAGAATTACTGAGAGCTCCACGCGGTGCCGCGAGGTCAGCGCAGATGAAGGGATCAGTCAGGATTTCATAAAGTATTTATTTAGCTGACAAAGGAATTCCCAACCTCCCTTTCATGTACGTTAGAGCTGATGCTAAGTTTCCGAGACAAGGCTCCGATTGTGGCTGTCACCAAACAATGACATATTTCTTTTCTTCTCTTAAATTCTCTGTATCATTCTATGTAAGAGGGCAATTTGTCTGTCATGCAGCTAAAACAGGGCCCGCTCACTGCCCTCATTAAACTGACAGCACAGTTATTAGCAGTAAACGAAGCCAACAGGCAATGAATTTAGCCACTGTTTTATGGCGAGCACCAGCGAGATTTTTTCAGTAATTAATTTGATAAATATATTAATTATGAATTGAGTTGACAGTACAATCAGATTGTCAGCCTTCCAGACAGGCTCTTGTGATAAGTAGCTTTGTGATGAAGTGGTCGGATTTCAGTACCTGTCATCCTCCGGTGTCAGTCTCTTATCACTGTCCCAGCCATTCACTCTGTAATTTCCTGTGTGTTGTAATTAAATGGTGGCTTTCTGATTGGAAGTGACTCCTCAAACTTAATCTCTCATTCTCTCAGAATATATTGTTAAAAAAAAAAAAAAAAAAAAAAAAAAAAAAGGCCCTTTGTCCCTTTGTTTCAGTGGCTTTTAATGTCAGAAAAGGAGCGCTTTATTTCACGTGTGCTTATTGCCCTGTGTTTGGGGCATGGTTGTGATGGCTCCAACCCAGGGAGAAGTGGTACAGGGGACACCACTGGAAGGACTTTGGGAAGGGTCACTGCCCATAGCTCTTGCCAGCTTTATTTTTGCTCTTTATGAAATAATTAATTAGGAACTGGGCCTGAGGTTGTCTGGCATGTGAGATGCATGTCAAGATAAGAT